GGGGGGTGGCTTAGGGGGAATGGATGTACAGGTACTACAGTGCGATGAAACCCTGGTCAGACTTCACCTGAATACCTGCAGTGCCTGCATACTGGACGGTTGGCGCTTATTTGAGTGGTGGTCATTGGAGCGGGGTACAGACCGGTTGCCTTTCGAGACCCAAGTTGGGGTTTTTGGGTTTGAAGGATGAGTTCCCTTGGTGTTGGGATGGGAGAGGAGTTGTGTGATATTTCTATTCTTATTCTTATCTTGTTTGTTTTGATTGAGAGATGTCGAATATGGGGTCGAGAACGAAAGATGATGAGCCGGTTAATGTTCTGTCGCTGGGTAAGTTCATCTACACTTCGGACTAGGGGATGAGCAGCTAATCAGTTGTGGTTTTAGATGGTGGAGGTGTACGAGGTGTTTCGTCGTTGGTGATTCTGGATCGGATTATGGAAAAGATTCAGAGGAGGGATGGGCTGGAGGAGATACCGAAGCCTTGTGACTATTTTGATATGATTGCTGGGACGAGTACAGGCGGGTGAGTATCTTTGTGATTTTGTGTAGTGACCTAGACTGACGAGCGGTTGGTTGTAGGCTTATCGCAGTCATGTTGGGGAGACTAAGGATGTCTACTACTGAGGCCTTGAAGGCATACGACGATTGTGCTGCGAGTATCTTCAACAAGAAGAACAGGAAGACGGGGCAGTGTCGGACAAGTACAAGTCCACTGCACTGAAGGAAGCTGTTCAGAAGTTGGTCAAGGAGAGGGGAATGGGGGAGATAATGAGGGACCCGAAAAATCCCAAGAAGGGAAGGTGATTGTGTGTGTGATGCCTGCGGATTCTGTTGCGACGGGGGAGACGAAGCTGGTTCGCTCTTTTCAGGGTGAGGATGATTGGGATAGTGAGATCAGGATCTGGGAGGCTTGCCGAGCGACGACTGCTGCTTCGAAATATTTCAAGCCGCAGGAGCTGGGTGCAGGTGTACGCAAGGGGTTATTCATTGACGCGGCAGTTGGCTTCAACAATCCGGCAAATTACCTTTTGAAGGAGGCGCTGGATGAGTTTGGATCTCGCCGCCGCTTTAGATGTTTGATCAGTATTGGTACGGGTACGAAATCGATTGAGACTGTGAGGGTGAAGACTGGATTCAAGAACTACACGAAGGCCTGGGGGCAGCTTCAAGGTCTTATTGGGATGGTCAAGAATGTGGCTACCGACGCGGAGACGTCACATAAGCAGATTCATGACAGGTTTTCACGCTTTCCTGGGTCGTATCATCGGTTCAATGTACCGGATGGTGCCAAGGAGGTTGAGCTGGATGAATATAAGAAGATTCCGCAGCTCAAGGCCTTGACTAGGGATTACCTCGGTGGGGATAGTGTAGGTCGACAATACCTGAGGTGGTGGAGGGCTTGGGGGCTCGTGGCAGGTTCAAGCATGGGTTGACTTTGGGCCATGCCTGTAAGAAGCAACCGACTCACAAACTAGGTCTTGTTTGGGTATGCTAACAATGTTCCAGACTCTCCGGACAGTGACCAGCTATTTCTCTCAGACAGATCCAAGGCGATGGGAATACCGAGCAGCTTCTTCATAGGGAGACAAGATGTGCTGAACAAAATCGATCAAGTGTTTTGCGAGCGCGACACAGGAGGAGTTCCAAGGAGGGAATTTCTTCTGTGGGGGATAGGAGGCGTTGGGAAAAGTGAAGTTGCCCTCAAGGCGGCAGAGAACCTGGATGGAGGGTGGGCACAGTTCCATCACTTTATGTCCCTGGGCCGGTTACTGACAAAACCAAGATTGAAATATATCTTTTACGTCGATGGGTCAGAAAGATCTACGATTATTCATTCGTACGCCGAGATTTCTAAACGATACAACCTGGGCGGTACCAATCCAGAAACAATGTTCCACATGGCACTGGAATGGACGGGGCGCTTGGCAGACGAATGGCTCTTGATTTTTGACGACTGCAACTTGAGTGAGCGCGCCGGTTTCATACCGGGCAGAGGAAAGGGCAACATCATCTACACATCACGCTTCAATGGCCTTGAGCACAACTTCCCGGCACACCTTGTCTACCACGTTGAACCTCTGGCCGAGAGGGACGCCGTTGAACTTCTTTTGGGAGCTTCTGGTCTCTTGGATGTGACATCTGATTCAGACAAGGCTGGCCCTACGGTCCCGACACGACGAGCTCCAACAGGCGAGGAAACAGCTCTGGCAAATGAAATTGTTCATGAGCTTAGCTGCATGCCTGTCTGCGTCGACAAAGCGGCTGCAGCTATCAGAGAGAGAGGAATGGAACTGGATGTATATCTCAAGGAGTTGCGTACACAAAAGGTTCGAGTCGCTACAGACCCCCGCTTCAAGGACACAAGTGTTGAGACTCAAGCAGCGTACGCAACTCTAGAGCTATCCTACGACCAGATCACAGCCATCCGTCATCGTGCCGGGAGAAGTGAAGAAGGACGCGCGGCACTCTTCGCCATGAAGGTCTTGAGCTTGTTGTCGTGCTATCACTATCAAGGATTTTCAACGGAAATTCTAACGAGGGCGGTGTTGAATCGGCGGAGTTGCAATGCCGACCTTTCTTACCCCTTGAAGCGCATTTTTCAAACCCCAGACAAAGGTTGGGATGATATGATGCAAGAGGACGGAGAAGGGGGCTGGGAGGTTCTGTTCTTTGCTCACGGGCTTCAAGTCTTGCGACGTTACTCCTTGGTCAGGCTGGCTCCTGACCGCCTCACCCTGTCCATGCATACCCTGGTTCATACTTGGGCTCAGCAAAGGATGGATCCAGAAGCTCGTGCTGAGGTTTGCTGGCTGGCAGGGGTTTTGCTCAGCGATGCAATGACACCATGCTTGATTTTGAAGAACCGGAGGTATGCTATCGGTATGGCACCTCACATCGACTGTTGTTTCGCCATCGTACCAAAGACCCGGGATACTATCCAGGAACACGATAATGCCCGTGTCCTTGGTCTCAAGCGCGGCGATGTGGTAGTTGGCCCTAAAAACATAACGTACCCAGTGGACGAGTACTACAATGCCCATCTTTTGTTCAGACTCGGGTGGTTTTACAGTGCTGTACAGCAGTTCAAACAGGCTGAATATTGCTGGAAGACCTGCCTTCGGCTTTTCAAGTATCAGGAGGATCCGTTTGGATGGGGTGCTATAAATACACTGACGCACCTGGCTACACTTTACCACGAGCATGGGTTTCTCGGCGAGGCAGAAGCGATGCATTGGGAGGCCATCGGCAGACTGGAGGCCAGAAAGCGAGAACGAGAACAGTACCTTCTGAAGGAACTAGAAAAGCGGGAGTTCGAAGAGAAGGCCAGTGTTTCAGCACCGCAACGAGGGAGATTGCTGAAGACGGCCCTCGAGAAGACTACCCCGCAGCTTTTTTCCGCCCTTTCTTCTAAGGAGATGGAAGCCAGAATATTCCAGACGTTCACTGCAACTGTCGTCAACCCTCTCGCTCGCCACAGGCCCGCAACCAACAGACGAAGTCCCATCGGAGCAGAGGTGGAAGTTCACGAGTCTACCGACACTGCTGAAGATGCTGTGGCCACTGTCAGAAAGAAAAAACGCGCTGAAGAGACGGACTCTCTTGATGATCTCGAGGCTGAAATTCTCCTCAGGCACGGAAGGCTAGCAAGGGTACTGAAAGACCAAGGCAGAAACAAGAATGCAAAGAACTTGATGAACTGGGTCGTCCAGAAATGCCAAGAGGAACTGGTCGAGGATTCCCCCGAGCTTCTGAGACTTCAGAATGAGGCGAAGGCGATGACTGAGCCAAAGGACATGGACTGGTTCAAGAGACACGTGGACATGATGAACGAATCCGACACCAACCAAAGCCTCGCCTTCTTCCAAACTGACGCGATTTACGAGCTGTTCGATCATTGGTGCTGGTCGATGTACCTCGCCGGCCGGTATTCTATGGCGATCGATATGTACAAGAAATTCATCCCTAGGGCCGTGGATGTGTATGGATATCATAACCCGAAAGTCCTGAAGATGATGCGGCAAATGGCGGAGGCGGCCTGGTCTGCCGACAGGCTGGATGATGCCGTGTTCATTGCTGAGTAATGTCTCTTGCGGGCAGAAGATGTTTACCAGCTGTCACATATGGAGGTGATACTGGCCACGGAGCTACTTGCCAAAGCCCTTGGTAAGCAACGACCTGGAAGTGACAAGGAGGCGGAGGATATGTTTCGGCTTGCTCTGAACCGGGCGCAGTCCAATCTTCCGAAGAATCACCCCGTCACTGAACGAATCAAGATAGAGTTTGATTCTTTCAAGCACCCACAGGAGCCTTCATACCTGACAGGTGCTAAGAGTCTGGAAGAGAGGTGGCTTGATCTCAAGGCTGATGTGAAGGCTCACTTTGCGGAGCTTGGGATGCTCAACGAGTACGCCTTAAGACTTCATGATTTCAAGGGCCTACAGCCATGGAGATCCGAAGAGGAGTACCAGCGAAGATTGAGCAAGTTTTCGGTGCTGGCGCGTGCTCCTGGGAAGCTATTAGGCATCAAAAAGCCGGTAATCGAAGGGCTATCCACCACCATAACGAGAAACGACCATGGAATTCAGCCTGAGGGAGGAGCCTCTCGGAAATCATCGACATCAAAGGGAAGGGTGTCGATAGGGGCGACAACGATTTCAATGCTGCGAACACGCCGATCAGAGTATAGCATAGTTTGAGGGTTCTCATTTATTTTGCATTTCACTTTATACACAGCATGGGCTCATGAGAAACACGATATCATTTTTATTGCACACAGCTCAGACCACACATTATCTGATTTACACATTATTCAAGGATCATTTTAGCGGTCCCCTTTTACACCCCCTACCAGCCCTAGTTTTATATACGGCCACAGTCTAGCCGCACTGTACGGGCTGCACCCAACCGGGCGCTTAAACATGACCTCGCCATTGGAGTGCATCGCCAAGGGCTAAGCATGCTGAGCCACCTCAGACAATAAAGGCACACAGCTAGCTCACTTTGTACAAATGTACCACGCTGCTGCCCTCAGTGAAAATGGCTTCCCAGGAAACTCAGTGTTAACACCCCATCAACTGGCACTCGGGTCTCAAACTTGAGAACGGGTTTAATGTGCGAAGCTTCCCAATGTCAACAGACGATGAAGCAATCAATCTGCTGTCTTTTGGTAAGATAAAGCATCTGTATCAGAGTGGTGAGGGTAAGAGAACTAACATCATACAGATGGCGGAGGTGTCCGAGGTGTCACATCACTGCTTATTATCCACGAAATCATGATCAAGATCAAGGAAAGACACGGATTAGCTGAAATACCCAAGCCTTGCGATGTCTTCCACATGATAGCCGGGACCAGCACGGGAGGGTGAGTACTCGATCCAGCAGGATAGTCTCTCTACAACTAACATCTGACCCAGCCTCATTGCCATCATGCTCGGCCGGCTTCGAATGTCCACCGAGGAAGCCTTACGCCAGTACGACGTCTGTGCCGAGAATATCTTCTCGTCCAAGAAGTGGGCGAACATCACAGAAAAGTTTCGTAGCACCCCGATGATAAATATTATCCAGAAACTCGTGGCGGAGAAAGACATGGGGGAAATGATGCGCGATCCTGCAAAGCCAGCAAAGGGTAAGGCGGTGGTTTGTACTATGCCGCGGAAGAGGGCGAATCCGAAGAATGTTCGGCGGATTCGCTCCTTTTCACCAGAAAAGGATAATTGGTAAGCTTTGTGCTGTTTGAAGTTTGGTTACCTGCATCGGGTGCGCTGACATTCTGGAATTGAATAGGGACAAAGAGGTGAAGATATGGGAGGCTGCCAGGGCCACAACGGCTGCTACCTTTTACTTCAAACCACAACCACTCACGGTCTCAACACCTCAGGGTGGTTCAAAAATTGAAGACTACATTGACGCTGCCTTTGGGGTTAATAACCCTACCAACGAGCTCATCAAGGAAGCGGTTGCCGAATTTGGGCCCAGTCGACGGCTTGGTTGCTTGATCAGCATTGGGACTGGGACTAAACAGGAGCGTGTAATTTCCAGAGCTGCAAGTGGGTTGAGGAACGTCTGTGATATGTGGGGGAGTATATTTGATGTCGGGATGGCCATGAAGGACATGGTTACCAATGCCGAACTCGTGCATTTCGACCTGGAAATGCGACTGAGACGAAAACCGGATGCCTACTTTCGCTTCAACGTTCCTCTTGCGGCAGACGAAGTCAGTCTGGCCCAGTATGGCAAGATAGGAAAGCTCAAATCGATGACCGCTAAATACCTCTGCGAACCGGAGGTGGTTGGCAACATTGAGAGGGCGGCTGATATTTTGGAAACCGAGAATGCTGAACACCACCTGAACCTCGGAGCCCTATGTGAGTAGAAGGAGGTTGCTCTGAAGAATTCATTGCTGACGGGAGCCATAGCTGAACCAAGCGAAACAAGGCCTGACGAAAACCTAAAAGCAAACCTGATGGGTGAGGCAAGCCGGTACTTCACGGGAAGAAACCACATCATGGGGATCCTGAATACATTCTTCTCCGATCGAGAAGACGAGACTGTTCCTCGAAGAGAGTTCTGCCTCCATGGCCTTGGCGGTGTTGGGAAAACACAGATTGCGTTGAAGGCAGCCAACATATTCCGTCATGGGGATCCCGAGCTGGGCATACCGAGGAAGCGAAGGTTCCCGCATATTCTATATGTGGACGGCACCGACAAGACAACCATCAGCCAAAGTTATGCAAGCATTGCAAGAGATGAATTTGGCATCGAGGCCAGTGGCAACTCTGACCAGTTGATGAGACAAGCTCTTCAGAAAATGGAACGGCTTGACGAGGATTGGTTTCTGATTTACGACAACTGCAACCAGGAAGACCGCCGAGAGTTGCTACCGAAGGGGGACACAGGCAATGTTCTATTCACCACGAGAAACCGGGTGGTGCGAAACCAGATGCGAGATGAATGCGTCTATGATGTCGAGGTGTTGGAGGAACTGGACGCTATCCGGCTTCTCCTGACAGCCTCGGGATCAAAATACGCTGATCTGAACGCATGGGACCAGTCAATAGGCAAGGAAATCGTCGAGGAACTTGGCTATCTGCCCCTCGCCATCGACCAGGCAGCTGCGTACATCAGAGAAGCTCCATGTCCCCTTGATGGCTACCTGGAAGTATTCCGCAAGCAAAGGGTCGAACTACTCCGAAACCCAAAGTTCAAAGGCTCGCTCGCACAGAACCAGGCCGTTTACACCACATTCGAAGCATCTTACAAAGCCATCGCCCAGCTTGAACTGCACAACAAGAACACGCTTGGTAGAAACGCCGGTCTTGCTCTCCGAGCTCTCGATCTGGTATGTTTCTGGCACAACGAGAACATTCCAGTCAAAGTTGCTTGGTGGGGAGGCGTATCCTGGAAGAATCGACTCGACATGGGCAAGGACATGCCCGCGCTGGAAGAGCACTTGGCACAACTCACCGGGGACGAAACGATGACCTGGCGGAAGTTCTTCTTCCAGTTGAGCGAATCTAGGGATGGAGAATTCCCAAGCGCCCTCGACATCCTCGAACGGTACTCAATACTTACAGTGAAGGAGCGGGAACTCGCCTCAATGCACGTCTTGGTTCACTCCTGGGCACGGGACCGGATGAAGGCTGAACACAGGGCACGACAAGCCCTTGTGTCAAAAGTCCTACTGTTGGACTCGATTGGCGACACACTCACCGCCACCTACGCACGTTCCTATCTCCATTCGATTTACCCCCATGTTCGGGCGTGTCTTGAACACTCCACATGGGGATCTAGATCCCTCCATCTACCGTACGAGCTCGTCTTGAGAGGCAAATACGCGCACATCCTCACCTTTCAGAAGCGTTTTGGTGAGGCCGAAGCCGAATACCTCGATATCATTCACTTGAGCAAATTGTCTATCGGGCCTACCACTTGGGCGGTTCAGCGGCCCCTCTGCTCTCTAGGGAAGCTCTACCATGAAATGGGTCGTTTGCGCGAAGCTGAGTTGACGTATCTCGAATGCATTGATCGCTGCATCTTGGAGAAGGAAGCAAATCGGATGGAGATAGAGGGGCGCGTAAAGGCACAACTTGCGCAACTGCGTGCCATCCCCAAGCGAAAGAAGCAGAATAAGAATGACGAATCGGACGAGGACAGACCGCCATCACCGCAGCTGAGCGAAGAGGAGATTGCCCAAGCAGCTCGCTGGTTCGTACCCGACTGGAATAGCACGGATAGCTGGCAGCTTCAGATTTCCAACATCGAAGAGAACCTTGCCAGGGTTTACTACGACCAGGCAAACACTGAAGATGATCTCATCTATTCCGCAGATCTTTTGGCCAGCGCGCTGTACCGACGAAAGAAGATACTCCACCCTGAAAACATGGAACTCTGGAGGACAGAAGATGAGTATCGAAGCAGAACCCAGCATCGGGATGTGAAGTACTGGCTGTTTCGGTTCGAAGCGGCAATGAAGACGTTCAAGTCTGAAGAGGACCAAGTCGCTTTCATTACAGGAGAATACCACGGCCGCCTTGTCCAGAATATGGCTAACAGCATGGTTGCCATGCGGCAATGTGTCAAGTATCACAAAGGCGAGGATTATTGGGCAGAAGACTTGAAGTGGATGTGGGAACAAGCCCACAAATACTACGGGACGATACTCTGGAATGGATTTATCAAGTGGTTCGGAGAGTCCGACTACAGGTGTCTCGAGGTGATGCGGCGGATGGTCAAGTGCCTCATTGGCTTGAAAAGATATGAAGAAGCTGAAGCACTCGCGAGAAGGTGCCTGGCGTCGAGCATTGTGGGCTATGGCGAATGTCACCAGCAAACGATCCTATCCCTGGAAAAATTGCACGAGGCTATTGCTTGTCGACTGGGGGGTTATGATCTCGAGTCGGTTTATGTTATCAAGGAGGCTTTTCACAGGGCAGACGCCGTTTTCGGAGTAGACCACCGGCTCACGAAACGCACAGGCAAGAAAACCACCCGCGCCATGGAGAACTACCAAGAGAATCTCTCCGACTGGGCGTCAATGAGCCAAAACATCTTGACTGATGCTCACTGGGAGTATGGGGCAATGGAAGACCAGGAGACAAGAGAGGTGCTACTCGGTGAACGCGCAAAGCACCACCTCGTATCGTACACGATACCTGACCCAAATTTCGACGCACGCCTTCGTAAGATGGCAGAAGCAAACGCAAAAGCGGTCTTGGAAGAGACGATGATGGAGGTTGAATCAGAGGTGGCTCCAACAACAACAACAACAACAACACATACTCACTCAAGACATGTTGACATAACACCAGCAGCCACAAGCGAACCACCATCGCAAAGCACTTCAAAATCACTTGGTCACCACCACAATCACGAGTCATTTGGCGAATCACAAGCGTCTACACTTTTCTCCCAAGCTCGAGAAGAGCAATACACATCTGACAGCAGCAGCGGGGATACCAAAAGAAGTGGTGTAAACGATATCAAGGGAAAGTCAGTGGCAGAATAGGTATATATACAGAGGCTTGAGGCTGGATACTAGTACACAAATGAATTAGAGGTTCTCATTCCATCGTTCACGCCTACGACTCATTCCCCTCCGTCCCCTTCTTTTGTATCGCCTGCATAAGCTCATACAACTGCCCGATTTGCTCATCTGTTCACCAAGTCAGCATTTCTCTGTAAACAAACCCCCAACAAACTCTCAAAAACAAAAACATACCACTCATCTTCTGAATCTTCCCCTCATCCAACTTCTCCCCCCTCCAAGCATCCCCCTCAACCTTCTGCGCGTACAGCTGCCACTCAGTGAGAAAGCCGATCTACTCCCAACATCAGTCTTCCATTCTCTCCTCAGACCCATCCCACATCACTCCTTGATGTTCAAGTCCCCCTTTATCTCTCCGCCCTGCTAGAAATCCTGTATCCTCAAAAAAAACAACAAAAAAAACCAGTACTCACCAAATGAACCGGATTCTCCACGCTCCTATGCGCCCTAAACTCCGCCTTGACATACTCATCCCCCAACAACCTCATCTCCGCCGGCAGGTGCTTCCTGTGCGCCCTCAGCAACCGCCGGTACAAATAAATCGGGGGCAGCAGCGCCATCGGTGTCGGTTTGAGGCTGTTGCCCGATTGCATGGCCGCTGCCATGAGCGCTCTGGCTGTTGGTCTCATTGTTTCCCTTTGTGGGTGTGCTTCAGAATGACGAGAGCGAGGTTGTACTTTATGAGGCGTCTTTCATGTTGTTGTTGATGTTGATGTTTTTCCAGTATCAAATTGCTGGTTTCTTCAACGTCGCAAAACATGATGCTGCCGAGCTGGTGGTAACGGGCCCACACAGTGTCCGTGGGTTGGGGTTTGAACGGTGCGCCGAGTGAAAAGTCAGGGGTTCAAGGGGGGTTAAGCATAAAGTCACTTCAATGTTGGGAGTCCGAGTATTCGTGAAAAGGCACCAAGACTGATCTGATACGGTCCATATTTACAAAAGAACCATGCCACCAATACTTAAACTACGCCTTCCTCGTTGTATTATTATATACACGTCCTACTACCATCCAAGTAGAGTCACCTTCTTGCTCAAACATGCCTCCTTCGCCATGTTATCACACCCCTTTCACCATCCAACCAGGACCTCCTTCCGGTCAAACACGCCTTCACCCCGACCTATCCACCGCCTCCACAATCCACTGCGCCTCTATGGCGCTCACCTTCTTCGCATAATTCTTTTGCGTATACACATGCTCCAAAAACATAACCGCCTCCTTCTTCTGCCCGTGGAGCACACTAGCCGGGTGAACAGCCACCACATGCTTCCCATGCGCCGTCACATAACTGTTATCCGGCGCCAGAATCGCCGTCTTGAGCGCAAAACCCCTCAGGAAACACTTCAATATCACAGCGGATCTCTCTGGCGTGATAGGGTAGAAAGGCTGCGGATCCGCAGGCGGATGTTCCATCATCTTTTGCCTAACACAAAGCTGCCTCAGCTGTTTCCGAATATTCATCGCTTGCTTCATATTCCTGGTGTTGATCTTCCTGTCCTTGCACCAGCGTGCTCTATCGGCGTTCTCGGCGCTGTATTTCTGGATCGTGGTCAGGTACGTGATGAGATCACCTTCTCTCCTCCGCAACTCTTTCCTGAACTCCTCGGCTTCTTCCTTGGTCTCCTCTGACTGGATCTGAAGGAAAATGTCGTCACCTGCCGTGATGCACGAGATGATGTCGATGACCTCTAGCAGGCAGTCGTATTTTGGGGTTGCTGCTGCGATCAGAACACGAGCATATGGCGGTGGGACGGGGAACATGACCATCTTGCGCCCGATATCCGTGATGGACCCATCATCTGCCAGCGCGCCGAGAATATGAAGATGGAGCAAAGCTTTTTCCACCGACTCAAATTCTGGGGGGTCCATGAGGGGAAAAGCCAGTACATCGTCAATTCCTCTCGCCTTCATCGTCAGCACAGCGTTGAGCACATCCGTCCGGAGAATTTCGGGGAGGTCTGTCTTCTCAAGCGATTCGTAAGTCTCCTCTGTGTAGAGTCTGAAACACTTTCCAGGACCTTCTCTGCCAGCACGACCAGTCCTCTGAATAGCTGAAGATTTGGAGATCGGCTTGGCCAAGAGTGATTCCATGCCCAATCGAGGTCTGTATTGCTTCACCTTCGCCTTACCACAGTCTACCACAAATCGCACACCGGGAACTGTGACTGAGGTTTCGGCGATGTTGGTAGCCAACACGATCTTCCTGGTGTTCTTGTCCTTGGTAGGTTGGAAAGCTTTGTGCTGCGCCTCCATGGAAAGCTGGCCGAAAAGAGGCAAGACCACAACCTTGGGGACGCCAGCTGGCAATGTTTCCGCATGTTCTTCGATCAAGCGCTGGGCAGCTTCAATCTCCTCTTGACCAGTGAGGAAGGCTAGGATGTCTTTCCTTCCATGTTTGTCGAAGAGGGACTCCTGCTTGTGAATCTTGAATAGTGTGCTCAGGAGGGCTTCTTGGATATCTGGGACTGGTTTTGGCGTATGCGTGATCTCAACCGGAAACTGACGGCCTTCGATCTGGAGGAAATCCACGGAAGTTTTGGGTCTTGTCGCAGGAGGGGCACATTCTTCAGACCCTTCCAGATCGACGTCGGAAAAGAACTTCTTGATGCTGCCGACATTCGCCGTAGCACTCATGATGACGATTTTGAGCGGGATGCCGCCGCGACCAGCCTTGTCGCCAGAGAGGATCTGCTTCAGAAAACCAGATAGCAGATCAACATCGACGCTACGCTCGTGAATTTCATCCACGATGATTGCACTGTACTGTCGGAGGTGCGGGTCGCGAAGAAGCTCTTGAAGCAGCATGCCTTCTGTGACATATTTGATCCTGGTGCCTTTCGGAACGCGGTGGTCGAAACGAACTGAATAGCCAACAATGCCGTCCGAAAGTGGGCCGTGTCTCTCCGTGTCCTTCTTCTTCCCTGGGATGTTGGCCTCCTTGGCCACGCGGTGCGCCAAGGTGGTTGCAGCGACTCGACGTGGTTGCGTGACTGCGATCATACCTCCCACAGCCATTTCCTGCACGCCCCCATCTCCCTTGATTTTGGCCTTCTTCCTTTGACACCAGTCCTCTTGGATCAGAAATTGAGGCACTTGGGTACTCTTTCCGGAACCCGTCTCACCGACAAGAACCAAGACATCGTTTTGACGCAGCCTTTGTCGAATATCATCTTGCCGTGACCAAAGCGGGAGTGCTTGACGAGCGTCGAAATATTTTGGGTTGCCGACTAGTTTCAAACGCCCGCCTGCCTTGGGGTCTTTGCTTGTTGTCGATATTCCTTCCTTTGAGTCTGAGAGGCCCTCATTTAATGTCGACACGCCCTCTTTTGCTAGTGTGAGGGCGTCAGTTGAAGATTGCGAGGCCTCAAGCTTGGGCCTTTTCGTTAAATAACCACTCAAGTCGAGGATTTTCCCCCCCACACGAATACCGTCGCCGTCGTTTTTCCTTTTCTTGGCCATTTTGTCGAGTGATTTGAGGTTGTCTGGGAGAGGTTCAAGACACAAGAGTTGTGAGACTAAGATTTCTGAAGTGGTCGAACGTGATGTGATTGGCCAGACAGCTGGAGTAGGTGGGGCACCCAGTTCCGTTCTTGATGCCAAATAGATTTGAAAATTACAGTGTTATGCTTCTATGAAGGCCTTTTCAACATGGAGACATGAGAAAATTTGAACAGCACCAACAATACTTGAGAACCCGAAAAAGCATTCTGTGTTGCAACCTTAACCCAACCCCGATCATCAATAAGTGCAAGACAATATCGCATACCTGAAAACAACGTCAAGACAAATTCAGAACGAGGGTTTATGCTGCCCATCATACTTTTCGCCGGGGCTCCTTTTTTAACTGCTTACATACTGCAAATTTTGTCGGACAGGATCACTGTCTTGGTTTTACTGTGCGATTGGCGTCAATAGTCACAAGGGGTCAAGATGTAAAGTCGTACACACACTTAGATGAAGCCAGCGAGGCAGGCTTCCCGGATGTCATGATTTGATACCCCGAATACAAACACTCGAAGCCTAAACTGGGTTCTATGATGATTGCTCAGATATTAAAGATGCCAGGTTGTGAAAGTATTGAATGATCATACATCAAGTGAAGTTTCATCCAAGCCAAACGCCATGAGAAATGGAAAACCACAACCAGAAGCAATGTACGTCTTGGTCTTATGTACGTTCAGACTCCAAGCTGGCAGAAATGCAACATGATAACTGGAATCACATATAAAATCACAAATTAACCAGACCGAAAACGTGAAACAAACATCATTTAGCAGAGACTACAAGGAAAACTAAACCCGAAATATAAGCATCAGGCAACATAAACTATGCATGAGCCAACTGCATTTTAGGGAGAGTATTCCGCTTTCATGCGATTGTTCTGCGCACGAACTTTGTCCTTGGCAGCATCGGACTATCAAATTTTGTTAGCATGTTGATACATTCATCATAAGGAAATCGTCGACTCACCTTCACCGTTAGCCTGGTCACCTGGTTGATCTGTGCATCCGTCCGCACACTGAATCCCTTGGCCAGCATATTCATAGTCGAGACACTCAGTGCAATCTCTGTCATATCATCATCAATCTGATTGTTGAGTTCCTCTTGCTCTCCGTCATTATCCTCAAAGGCCCACTTTGAGCGATCGGCTTTGTTAAAGCCTAGGGTTGGCCGTCCCACTTGAGCAGTGGCGGCCTCCAGCTCTCGCTTCCGCAAAGCCTGCTCCTCCCGGAGCGCATCTCTATCAATCTCCCTCTCTCGCTCAGACTGAGCCTTCCTCGCTGAACGCTCGGCAAGCTTTCCTTTGCTATTTGCGGCCAAGTTGAAGAGTGACGAGTTGGCAGCGTCCAGATTGTCGAGGTGTGCGTGCGCCAAGCGAGCCTGATGCTCTGCAACTTTGAGTTAGCATCGAGCACGAGTAAACTATAACGACATAGAACTGGAAAGCTTACTTGATTCATCGAGTTGCTGCTCAACCTTGTTGAGAATAGCCTCATCTCTGTCATACATCTGGTGCATGCCCACCATACGCTCCACTCCTTCAGCAGCCTTCAGCCGGGCGCGAGCTGAGCTCTGGGCTGTCTCTTGAATGGTGTGGATGATTTCTCCCTTTTTGGTTTCTGCCTCGTAATCATCCTTCTCTTCCGCCGTCATGTTCTCATAATTGTCGGGAATCTCTGGACGAGGAGGTGGTGCCATTGCCGAATAGGGATCTCTCTGTTGACGCCCATCGAACAGGGGGTTTGGTTCACTCAAACCACCGTATCCTCCTTGTCTCGGGGGGGGAGCCTGAACGTTGTTGTTCTGGCCATAGCCGGCAGCATTATCGTATCTGTTGCCGCCATATCCGCTGGGGGCGCCAGGCCGATCATTCCCATATCCTATCGAAGGGCTGGATGCAGCCGAATCATATCTCTTCTTGTTGTCTGTAAAGGCGGCATCATTCTGAGCGGAGTAAGGCGGTGGGGCGGAGCTTCCAGGACGAGGACCAGATGGTAAGCCGCCGCCGTAGCCACCGGGACGAGGACCGGACGGCAGTCCTGAAGGGACTCCGCGATTTCCGCCGTATGCAGGAGCGGACGAGTATGTGTCGCTGGACGGCGGTTGTTGCGCATAAGGGTTCACAGGTGTCTCGTTGGGCTTGTCTTTATCCGACTTGCTGCGGAATATAGAGCTGAACTTGCCCATGATGGGATGCTGTGAATGGTTTAGTACGATAAACAAGACAAAAGGTTGAGTCGTCTGATGACAACGAGATGGTAAAACAGGTGTTGACAAGATGAAAAGGAAGGAAAGTATGTGATGTTAGGTGTTCAGGGGGCGTTTTGGCGTAAAGACCCCCTAACAGCTGGCGGGGCTTTGGGTGGAGCTCTGCGGCGGCGGGACGGTGGGATCCAGACGAGCTTGTGTCTTGAGACTGTTCCAGGCTGTGACCTATTCGGTAAAAGAGGAAAGCCCCTGCCTCGCAATGCTGACGACCACTTGCTTGACCGCAGTTAAGCAATTGGGGGTCGCTGTCCTAATCAACCGCCGGATCGTGACCGCCATGCAGCCACTTGGCGCTCCGCCACCAGGGATGATGCTTCAAAAGAAGGCTTCTGGAAATCCATTTTCAGCTTGTTTCTTTTCTTACCTTGTCAACCGCAGACTCCATCTTGACTTCGTGTTCATCGTCTGTTTCTTGGTCTCCTTTGAAACAGCCTGACTTCCACTCTTCCTGCGAATCTGTCAACCCTGAAAATTGCGGCCCTTCGAGTTTCTCAGGGTCCTGTATCTCGCTGGATTGATGCAGGTCCAGTGGTGGGGGGCGCCGATGTTGCGACTGGTCCACTGCCATCTTGGCTTCGGGCTGGGGGTTTCGTCCGCTCCTATCGCTGTCGCTGGGGGGTTTGCTGGAATTGCTGGAATCACTGCACAGTGGTTCGCTGGAATAACTGAAATCGCTGCCTCGTGGCGAGAGGGGCTCCAGCTGGAGTTCTTTGATCAGCGAAGGATCCATGATGGCTCTAGATTGACGATTGACTGTTCATGGAACAAGCTGAGCGAAGTGGCTTCTCAATACAATGAAAGCCGTTCATTGAGAGAGGGTGGTGGCTTGCAAGAACAACTAAAAGTCTATCTGATAAGAAGAAAATACGACAGTACCTCAATTCAGGCGCCTTTTGCGCCTGAACAAAGGTACTGCCGTAATACGAAGCTAACGGAGAACAGGCCTTGTAACCTGGTCTCTGTTGCTGGCGACTGCCCAGTCACAGCGCGAATGCCATCCCAGGCCGCTTGCTCATTGACTGCACTTGGACCTTACATAAGTTCCCCAAATCTTGATGTGTCACTTTCGTCGGTGTGAGAGTCACCTTTTTTTTTTGTTGACGACAAATTCAAGGTGTTTGATAAGAACACCTGAATTGATTCATCCCCTCCCACTGTTGACAGTACACCGAGTCACGAGTATCTTTATAACCCATTATCAAAATGTTTTCTTCTATTTAGATCGCCGTGATTCCCTTGCAGGCGCAGTCGAGTCCTCGTCCTTCAAGCCCTTTGCCTTAACATTGACCTGAAGCACGCATCTTCCGAGTTCAAGATGACACCACGAATACACCTACACCTACACCGAATATATTTACTAGAAATGTCGATCAACCATACAATAGCATATCTACTCACCTAAGCACGCCTAACTCGCAGCATTTCACAACAGCCACCTACAGATCTTACAAGGAATCGCCCCTAAAACCCAGCTCGAATGTCTGTCTTTACTTTCGACCCTCTAGGGTCCGATCCAGCACGAGCGTCCTCTCCATGGCTTAAACCAACCGATCCTCACAAGAAGTCTAGTCTCGCTGCGGATCATCCGCCAACGCGGAAAGGAACCATTGGGTCAGGCCTCTTATCAGACTACGGCGTCACCAAACTGGAGCCAGAGCCGCAAGAAGGCCCAACCGAGTACAAACTGCACCTCCTGCTGAGGTCTCGGAGGAGATATGAGCATATCAGCACCGCAACACGAATATCTGGCTCCATCAACCGCCCTTCAGTCGAATCCAGAACTTCCAAGCCAGCACCAGCCCTCCCAGGCTGTTCCACCACTGCACAAACTCGACAGGACCGCCTCGAGCACCTCACTACTCAGCTCCTATGGAGGCTGCAACAGTCATGTCCGTATCACTCTGGAACTGCCACCACAGTCCCGGTGATACCGCAGCTCCCTGACGAGAACTTCGTTCGGGACGCCCCGATCAAGCTGGGAAAACTGTTGCCGGGCCTGGAAGCTTCGAGAGGAGCTCTGTACGAGATCGGAGTTGCAGATGACGGCACGCTTGCTGGTCTCACCAAGGATGAGCTTGACGAAAGTCTCAACACACTTCGCATCATGGCTGCCAGCTTGGGATGCAACATGGAGGTGCTCCGCAAGGTTGCGGTTGGTGACTGCGAATGGATTGACTCATCCGACTCTGAAGAAGGGTCGTGCTCAGGACCAAAAGGTCAACGGCGACAGGCCAGGTTGTGGGTGGCCGAGGCCCTGGTTACACCCAATCTTCGACCTAGAGATGCCAGTCATACAGGTGCGGCACGGTCAACCGGGCTCCCTGACCCGACACACGGCCCGCTATCTACGGACCAGCTGCGTGTCACACTTACAGGGCCGACGACCTCTGGAAAATCAACACTTCTCGGCGCTCTCTCGACCGGGACGCTGGATAATGGGCGTGGGAAAAGTCGGCTTGGGTTGCTCAAGCACCTGCATGAGGTGGCCTCGGGTATCACGTCGTCTGTCACTCAGGAGCTTGTGGGATATGATGGTGACAGGATTGTCCACTATGGCCATCAAGAAGTTGAGTCCTGGATTGACATTCACAACTACACCAAATCAGGGCGGCTTGTCTATCTGGTGGACTCTGCAGGACACCCAAAATACCGGCGTACTATTCTTCGAGGCATTGTAGGATGGGCACCGCACTGGACTCTTCTCTGCATAGCAGCCAACAGTTACGACATCCCCACGCTTGTTGAGCCCGCAGCGGATGCCTATGGCCCCGAACAGAGCATGGAATTGGCATCAGCCCACCTCGACCTTTGTCTACGGCTTCGGCTTCCCTTGGTTGTGGTTATGACAAAACTGGATTTGGCAAGCGTAACCATCAAGAAAACTCTCAGCAGGATCTTGTCAAGCATCAAAAAGGCCGGCCGAGTCCCCATGTTAATCAAAAGTGGACCAGCAGGGCATACCGACCTCAGCATTGTCTCGGATCAAGACGCAGCTCTCATCAAAGACGTTGCGGAAGCGCTTCGTACAAACGACGACCCATCGGCCATCGTCCCTATCGTCCTCACCAGCGCAGTAGACGGCCGAGGAATCGGCACACTCCACGCCTTACTCCGGAGCCTACCTGTCCCCCCTACCCCAACGTCGCACGACTACATCGGTGCAGCCTTGAACCCGGAACAGCCCGCCTGCCTGTTCCACGTCGAAGATAAATACAGCCTCCCCGCCTCCTGCGCTCTTGCCACCAGCGACGCGGATCAGCAAACCGATCTAGGAACGGTAGTCGCGGGGTATCTAAGGTTTGGCAGCCTGTCGATCGGGGACAAGATCGTGGTTGGCCCTTTTCCTTCCGAGGATGCTGCCGGCTCACCACCGCGTGACCAGTCCCCGGCGGGAAGTTATGGGCTTTCTTTGTCGCATCCGTCGTCTAATGAACTGAACCGGATCGCTGCTAGGAATGCGGTTTCTGCTTCGGCGATTAAAGGGGAGTGGCACACTGCGAGTATTGTGAGCATACATAACTTGAGGCTGCCGGTGCAGACGCTTGAGGCGGGGCAGGTTGGGTCTATTGGGATTATTTTTGATCAGGTCAGGGGTGAGGATGGCGGGGTTCCTATGGGGACGCCGAGGTTGAGGAAGGGGATGGTGTTGGCGGTGCCGAGCCAGCATATGGTTTCTTCTGGGCTGTCGCTTCAGGCTGTTAGTGGGTTGACGGCGGTGTTTGACGGTGATAATGCTTCTGTTAGCGAGCTGACGGTGGGGAGTTTGGTGAATATCTATGTTGCTAGTGTGAGGACCGCGGCGAGGGTGTCACGGGTGTCGAGAGTGCAAGCTCCAGGAAGGAGAGACAAGGGGAGGTCGCCAACGGATGATATGGATGACGTATTTGGCCTAGGGGGAGATGACAACGCCGCTCAGCAAGGGCAGTCGGAGGTGAGGGTTGGGGTTGAGAATGGGGAGGTGGAGGTTCAGCTGGATTTGATGAATACACGGGAGTGGGTTGAGCTTGGGAGTAAGATTTTGGTGCTGGAGGGGAGGAATAGGGATCGGTCGGGACTGGAGGGGTTCGTAGGGAAGGTGGTTGAGATTTCGGAGTGATGTAGGAGATGGGGGAGGGGGTTAGCTGAGATTTTGGATATTCGTGTCGGGCTATCTGGTTTTTTGGCTTGCTTGTTTTGGATGATGATTTGGGTTTTCTTTTTTGGAGGAGAGATGATTGGTATGGCAGATTTGGTTACTATATATGTCTAGAGTAGTGTATACATTTATATTGTTGTTGTTTTGAGATTTCATTTTCCAGCCGTTGGCGAGGAGGATTGTGGTTCACAAGAACTAGAAGCAGACACCACATTTTCATAGTTTGGATATATCATAGATGAATTAAAACTATAAAAAACATGATGACTTTCTCACCCATATACCAGTTTAACCTAGCGCAAGAAGCCAGATAAGAAAGTTGTGTAAGTGCCTGGGAAAAGAGAGGTTAAAAAGGCCAAAAACATACAACACCGAGGATTCCCCAGTGGTCACCCACCTGAGTACTAGTTCGGCGTTCAGTTATTTGACGAGGGCAGAGCGGACGGGATGCCGTATTTTCAACTGACTATGGTCGTATGTGATGGTTGACGTTGAAACCAACCATTATAACTTCCGAAAGTCTTGTGGTGCTGGGTTCTGAACGTAGTAGAAGCTATCACGGCTTTCGGGACCGTGGGGGGCGATGAAAACGGTTCGAGAAAACTCCCTATAGTAGGAAGAAAATAAACGTGTTGCATCATAACACCTACCTATTTATTGCCTTTGACTTTCCTTTATATATATATCCACTCGAGACTCGAGCAGCAGCAATCTGACAAAAGCAAAACCATCATCAGAGCCTTGATTCCCAAATGGGAGAAAACACATACACGCACACACACACACATACACACACACACACACACATATACACACACACACACACACACACACACACATATACACACACATACACACACCCTGACAAAAAAAAGCTCACCAGCCTACACAGAAGTGTAGACCAGCTACGAGAAACCTTGTTCTTACCTTGCTTGACGACTGCTCGACTCCCCACATATGCGAGCAACGCCGATGGCAGTGGGGCAGTACAGCAAGAGAACAATCTTTTTTCTCCCCCGCTCGCTCGAGGAATTGAACTCCAGTGCTATGCCACAGTCAATCAGATGTAGGCAAGAGAATTTTTGACCCCCCTTCTTGTGGCCGGGAGGAGAAGGGAAAAGGCGGGTTTATATAGCTCTCTGTTGCCAAGCGGAATGGAAACTGGCAACACATTGTACTCAAGGTATATACAGCTCTGCATATATACACCTAGGGTTGACAGCCACGTCTACTCATGAGCAGCAACCCTCTCCCCCACCCAAGCCCTCAGCTCCTCGGGTCCCATTGTCACCCTCTTCCTCGACCCAGTAACAGCAGACATGTCAACACTGAGAGATTTACCCTCCACCTCTGAAGCCCCAATAGTAACCACCACACTCACTCCCGCACTAACAGCCTCTGCCTTCTTGACAGCAATCGGTCTCGCGCTGGTATCAAGATCAACCGCAAAATGCGTCGGAGTAACATCCCCATCCGCGATCCCCAACAACCTCTCCCTCACCCGAGTAGCCCACTCCACCACCGGCTCGGTATCATTCAAAGTAATAATCTTGATCTGATTTGGGTTCAACCACAACGGGTACTTCCCATCATAGTGCTCAATCAACAACGCCATCAACCTCTCCACAGACCCCAGCACCGCCCGGTGTATCATCACCGGTCTCACCGGCCCAAAGCTCGCCAGCAACTCCGGGTCAGTAGTCGTCTCCCCCTTTTGTTCCAGCTCCGGCGCGGGAGCGATATACTCCAACTCAAACCTCTTAGGCAGCTGAAAATCAAGTTGTATCGTCGCAGTCTGGTGCTCCTTCCCATGACTATCCCTCAAGACAATATCAATCTTTGGTCCATAAAACGCCCCATCTCCCTCATTAACCGTCCAGTCCGTCCCGCTCTTGTCCAACGCCCTTTTCAAGGCATTCTCTGCATTTTCCCAATCTTCCAGTGAACCAATGTATTGTTCTGGTCGGGTAGACAACGCCAACCGATACGGCCCCAATCCAAGGGTGGCATAAGTATGCTTGACAAACTCCAGCGACTTTTTAATCTCCTCCTCTATTTGAACGGGACGACAGAAAATATGCCCATCATCCTGGTGGAACCTCCTCACACGAGTGAGGCCGGTGAGGGAGCCCGTGTTTTCGTTTCGGTGGAGAGGGGAGAAGTCGGCGTAGCGGATGGGGAGGTCGCGAAAGGAGCGTTTCTGACTGGAAAAGATGAGGCAGTGGCCGGGGCAGTTCATGGGTTTGAGGCCGTATTCGCGGTCGGTTTCTTCGGTTTCTTCCGGGGATGCGTGGCGGGCGCCGGTGACGGTGTACATGTCCTGGGCATAGTTTTCGAGGTGGCCCGACTTGGCCCAGAGGTCTTTTTTGTAGATGAGGGGGGTGATTACTTCTTCGAAGCCGTAGCGGACGTATTGGTTGCGGAGGAAGGAGACGAGGCGGTTGAAGATGCGGGTGCCCGAGGGGAGGAAGAAGGCGGAGCCGGGGGAGTAGATGGAGGTGGTGAAGAGTTTTTGGTGGAGGCCGAGGGTTCGGTGGTCTGGGGGTGTTTTTTCTGGTGCTGGTGGTGGTGGTGGTGGTGTTTTCTTGGATGGTTTGTTGGATGGTGGGGTGGTGGTTTGGCTGGCAGCGGGGGTGGTAGCTTCACATGTCGAGCAGCTTCGGAGCTGGAGCTGGAGCTGGAGCTGTCGGGTGGGTAGTGGTGCTTTTTGTGATGGTCTGAGGTTCCTCGTTAGGGAATGGGTTGGCCATCTGGCTACCCTCTGTGGAAGCATCTTGCCGGCCGGGCGACCGTTTTACTCCAACAAGGCTTTGACGTCGTCTCGACTTCTGCTCACTCGACGATGGAACAATTCGATATGCCCAGATTGGCGCTTGGGTTTTCGAGATGCACAGGCCACCTCGTCGATCACGGTGGACAACTGGCGGCGGGCCATTCCTCTATTGGCTAGCCCACCCCCCGGAAGCTAGGGATTTATGGGGATGCTACAGGGGTGACCTGGCGTGGCAGTGGAGAAGCGAGACAGCCCATCCATCCAAATGATGCTCCCCCACATCCGAGCAACAACAACATCCTCTTGCTTCAACACTACCTGTTGCATTGGGCACCTAACTGCATTTTTTGCCCCGATTACAGTACCACCATGTTCGTTCTAGTTTTTTAGTTTTCTTGAAACCTACATATAACAATCATTGTTTACTGGCATCAAAGCGCCCGTCGTTATCCTCTTGGTTCTGCTGTTGCCTTGTCGTGACTCACTTATTAACCACGCTATCGTTCCCCTTCTGATTTGAAGCAATATCGGGTAGCGACAGACTACCGAATCATCCCTGCTCCCGAGTGACGTACATATAGGCCTGCCACGTCGCGTCTGCCTTTTAATTATTTTTCTTCCCCTCCAGGCGACACCGCGTTTGTTCCCCTCGCCCAACGCGACAAACAATCATGGCCATCACTCGAAAGCAGGAGCGCGAGGGTTCGTACCGACCTGAAAGTTCATGGCGTATGGTGGAGGGCAGCGAGACGGGCAGCTTTGCCTACGACGAAGAGATTGTTCCCTCCAACAGCGACCCTTCCAACTCGTTTGATTCACAGCCTGTCAGCATTGGAGCCTCGCAGCCATGGAGCATTGGTGGCTCGCAGGACGAGAGCATCGAGACATATCTCAGCAAAGCCGAGAACGATGAGCAATTTATCCTCAAGTCGCCCTTTCGCCCGTCGGTGCCACAATCTGTGAGGCATTCCTCGAAGGAACAACACCGTGAACCAGGGCCCGAGTTTGTCATGCCCAAGGTTGAGGTCGAGAGTCCAACTGAAGAGGGGGGCAGCGCCTGGTCCTCGTCAACTATTAAATCTCCAAAGAGACCAACACCACCACCCGGGCTACGGAAGCGTCTTGGCATGGTCAAGGAAAGTCCTAGAGTTCGAGGCCGACGACAAAGTATGAGACAGTCAGGGGAACTGGAACGCCCCGTCCCGAATGATGGCATTCTCGGTTCAGTATTCTCCTGGATGCTTGACGTGATTGGGCTTGCGTTTTGGGCCATCAAGTATCCAATCGGTTTCCTGCTGGCCGTCTATGTTTTATCTGGCACCACAATCATCGCCAAGAACATGGTCACCAAGTCGCTCGCAGTGTCTCTTTCACCGCTGTGCCGACTCCCTGGTGTCTCTTACCTGAACGTACCTTTTTGCGGACCCAACAAGTCTGAAGACGACAAGCCCGCAAACGTCGACTTTGACAGCTTGGTCGACGCCCAAAGCCTTCTGGAGCAGGTACTGGAAAGGACCGTGGAAGGCGTCACGCTCCCACTCGACATCAAGCGTTCCGAAGCCTCCATTCGCGATTTGCGCACCATCGTCCGGCACAGCAACCTCAAGGGGAAGCAAGAGCTCGTTCTTGAATTTGACGGCTACATTGACACTGTTCGTTCGGTTGTCCACGAGCTCAGCAGCTTCAACGTCCACGTTGGGTCTACCGTTGACTCGGTCATCAGCATGAACCGCTGGACAGCCCGCCAGCTCGACACCTTGGAGGGAGACAATGTCCTCAAACCTAGGATTGAGAACAACGACCCCTGGCTCAGCCAAATGGTTGAGTGGGTTTTGTCTCCTTTCCAACCTGTGGTCTTTACGGAAGACCATCTGAAGGATACCTACCTCCGCCACGCCTCCCACGTCCAAGACAGAATCGCCAGCCTCATTCTCGAAGCTCAGACCGTCTTGTCGTCTCTTACCAAGGCGGAGGACCACCTTGAAATCATCCATGAGGTCGCCTACCGCAGCACAGAGGAGGTCAAGACCTCGCGTCAAGATATCTTGTACACGCTCTGGACTCTGGTCGGGGCGAATAATCAGAAACTAAAGGACTTCAAGTCGCAGTTGAGTGTTCTTGGTCAAATTGAGACGCAGAGGTTAAAGGCGGTGAAGCAGGTTACGGGGCTGGTGTCGGATCTGATCAAGATTCAGGCTGAGATTCAGGGGTTGAGGGATGATGTTTCGGCGGCGGAGCTGGTGCCGAGCGTGCCGTTGAGTGTGCACATTGCGACGATTAACAGTGGGGTTGAGAGGTTGGATAGTGCGCGGGCGAGGTTGAAGGCTATTGAGGCGGAGAGGGTTAGGGAGGTGGTGGGGCGGGGGAGGGAGGGGGGGGAGAAGTTGATTGATAGTAAGAGGTGGTGAGGGGGGAGTGGGTGAGAGGGATGGGTTTTTGGACTTGGTCGGTTTGGGAGGGGGCGGCGTCGGTTGGGTTATTATGGGTAAAGGGATATGGGGGGATATGGGATGGGATTTTTGGAATTGAAGACCTCCCAGAGGATCGGGATAGGGGGATTCAGAACAGAAACATATGGGATGGAATTTTGGATGGTATGATAGGAGAGGGAGGGGATATAACAGATACCCGAAATTTATTGTGGCTTGTTTGTAACTTTTTGGGTAGCATGTTTTCTAGTTTTGCTTGTGGTTAGTTTAAGGGAACATGGCGAATGTTTATGAATATCTACTCAAAAACTGCAAAGTTATACCTCGAAATGGGTTTCGACTCTGTTAGGTGCGTGTCTGTATATTGAGAAGTTTACCTGATGTGACTGATCTAGGTATAGAAGGAGAATGGTCTTTGGGTTCGTCTCTTTAAACTGGTTATAGACGACCTTCGCCTGGCAAGAGGCATTCACGGTGTTGAGAGGCAACGGCGATCGAATGGTGTTGTTCGCGCCGGTAGCTCATCCTGTTTGTGTTAGGTTGCTTACTGTATCTCGCTATGGGACTTCGTTTGAGGTGTTGTTGACTGATGGTAATGATGGTGTGGTCGCTGACTGGGCATTCATGGGCGTCATAGGTAGGTACCAGGCGATGGTTTTAACCAATCTTGTAGGTGTGCTTTTGGCTAATAATATCTAATGGACGGGAGAGAAGGAGGTGGAAGGCTGCTTATGGGAAGGCGGGTCGGCGTCGGGATGGTCGGCTTGAGGGACTGTTTTCTCTCGCGGTGGTGACGAGAAGGGTTATCAAGCCGGAGATGTGATTGCCTTCGGGGAGGCACCTAGGCGAAGATGGAGGTTGAACAGAAAATAGAACACCCACGACCCGGGGACATGGTTCTCGAACGATGGGGCACTAGCCGCAGCCACGGGGGTTGGGCCATAAGATATTTTTGGATAGGCCTAGCTAGGTAGTAGGTAGTTGGCGTTTGAACCAGTGTGAACTAGCGGGCCTTTTTTTCAGATGGCATGATCAGTGATGTTTTAGGACGTGGGTTCCATTGGAAGGGGGGCAGCAAACGGGCTTCATCGACAACCGTCTATGGCAGGACACCAAGGTAGCCCTGGTCCATAAATGATGCCATTCATAGATGAGGGTTCCATCTCGAGCCACCCAGTTGAGGTCCGGGTCCATGTTTAGATCATAGCCGGTCTGTGAAGGCTCATTCTGTTTTCATGCCGTCTCTCACAGGCATTTAAGGCTGTCTCTTATCGAGGTTTAGGTACCCAGGATTAGATCAAGCCTGGCTTAGGAAATCCATCCCGTCCCTCCCGTTTCTCACAGACATTTCAAGGCTGACCGGTTAACGTTACCAGACCGGGAGAATTGCAAAGCTTACCTAGCACCAGGTTTACCATCTCGAGCCGCGCTGTCGATGGTAGTGGCTCCAGGTTTAGATCAAGATTGGCTTGGGAAGAACCATCCCGCCTCTGCCGTCCCTCACAGACATTTCAAGGCTGACTGACGGCAACACGGTTCGAGATGCAAGTTTGACATCTGTACTCATCCACGGCATAAAGCATGAAAGCACAAAGTATGACTAGACCACGATATTTCCCCCCCCCCCGTCTTATAGGCCACGGTAGGTAGTATAACGTGGCATGCATATGCACTCCAGATTTCTAGAGCGGGAGCTATTCTAAACAGATTATATCATAGGGTCAGAGAGAAGTGTTATATGTGAACAGCAACAGCCGAACGGGTGCCCTGGCTTCCGATGCAGGATAGAGGCATGTTTTGCTCGCTTGAGGGGGGAGGGTAATATCAACAGTGTTGATGAGAGGCGTGGATGGGGACGGCCCGGAGGGTGGTGTAACTCTTGCCATGCGTTTTGGACATTGAACGCGAGAGAGGCATCACCACAACGGATTCTTGGATTGGAAATTGAGATGGACATGGACACGGCAAGAGACTGGACAAGGCAGACTTCTGAAACGCAGCCATCATCCCGTCTTATCACTGACGAGGGCATCAACGGTCTGTAGGCGCCTCTTTTACCGCCATGCCGGGCTCAATGATGAAGATATCAGCAAGCGCGAGGAACCGCGGTGCTGGGCGTGATGGCGGCAAAGCTGCGAGTTGGTCACTCTTGAAGAAGGAAGCTAAAGAATTCTCTGGGACGGAATGTGGTATCTCCAGTACACCATCTGGTGAAGATTTCCGGTACGGAAGCCGCTCAAGACAAGGCGGGTAGTAAGCAGTGACTGATCGTCTCACTCCCGTTGGTTGAGATCTGATGCCGCACTCGCACTCAGAAAAGAGGTTAGCGGCGTGGGTAGAGAAAATGATCTGATCTCATCACCAATTAGACAAAGTGCCGCCCTCCTCCAGCCTTGTGCCCCTCCTTCCAGAGAGAACGGCGGTCTGGGCGAAAGCCCACGTTGGGTTGCTCCTCACTCGGAGTTTGGAAAGATGAGAGAAGCCCACCAGCGAATAACACGCACTTCCGCACCCTCTTCCCAAAAGTCACGGAGAAGAAAGTCGAGCGCGCGGTGTGAGCAGAGGCAAGTGAAGGGCGTCTAACTGCAGAGTGATTTGGTCGCTGATTGGCTGGGGGTTTCCAGGGTGTCACCAAAGGAATCTATTTCGAGCGGCTATTTCCCCTCTTTTGACCACCGTCCACTCACAAGGCACCACCAACACGTCGCTCTCGGCCCCCAGCGCTTAAAAATACAGCATCCCACTGCAGACGGAAACAAGAGCTCCCATAGCGCACTGCATGAGACTGTGTAGAAGCAACGCGCTTGTACCGGGGTATTCTAGCTATCACAACATGTACTGTGGTACGACCTCCTGAATAAAACGATTTTGGTCCCTCTCTCTCTTGTTCCATTTTGTGCACTGGTTGCTCTTGCTTCCTGGTCCAATATCGCCAATTGTTGTTGTTGTTGCCGTCGACAGTGTTGATCCATCGCTCCATAATGTCTCGATAGCAGGTCTACAGGTACTTCTGGAATTGCTGTGCGACTTGTGTTCTGCCGGTTCGCGACACGGAAACGTGGAAAGTGTAGGATACTGAGAAAGGAAGGGAAAAAGAAGCATTAGAGAAGGCTAGGAAACACAGCATAGCCACGACACCGCATATCGCCCACACACCATGTCGGCACCACCACCTCAGGGGCCGGGAGGCTTCTCCCTCTTCCCAAATACTACTGCCAGACCACCGTCGAGGAGTCAGAACCAGCAGAGACCACCGACTAGGTCAGGGACACCTCAGGAGGGGCCGTCCAATTCGACAGAGGCATCGCCTCCTCGTGGTCCGAGGATACGGAGGGACTCTTCAGTCAGGGAAGGAAAGCAGAGGGTTGCATCAACCAATCCATGGCAACATGCTCTTGACGCTCGAGAATCTCAACGACGGCAATATCCCCAGGAGAGCGAGGCCGGGCCGTCCAATGCTGTACCTGTCCCGGACCCCGTGGTTGAGACGGCATGTGCTCAGCCGGTGAGCGATCCACCGCAGCGATGCGAGACAGCCTTCTCCGAAGCGCAGACTCTTGTCAGGAGTAACAGCGCTCGATCTCGAAGCTCAATTGCCAAACCACCACTCACATACGCCCCGGCTGGTCAATCTTCTTCTTCAGGAGGACCATCTTCTTCGTCCCATCAAAACCCACCACAACTTCGCTCCATCTTTCCCACCTACAACCCCGAGCTTCCTCTGGACAGACAGGAGTACTATCCAAAAGAAGCCTCCCCAACCCGCATTCCCCAAGGAGCCATCTCCCGTCCTCTCTACTCCCCACGACGAGAGCGCGCCCCAACAGTCACCAGCAACCACAACCCTCAATCACCCCCCCAAGGACCAATCCAGTCCCCAGCGCCCACCACAACCTCCTCCCGCTGGCCCCGCCACCAGGAACCGGCCGTGATCCCGCCCGTCTCCTCAACAGAAGAACTGCGCTCCCTCTGGAAAGTAACCAACGGCTGGAAAGCCTCCTCCCTCGAAGGCCGCCCCTTCTGCCTCAAACTCACCACAACCCCGGACGCCCCAGTCTACACCCTCTCCTCCTCCACCTCGCAACCCTTCTACTGCCTCCGAATCGACCCAACCTCCGCCTCCGCCCTCGTCTCCCTCTCCCGCTACGACCCAAACAAACCCTTCAAACAATCCCCCCCCTCCCCAAACAGCGGCTCCCCCTCCCAATCCCCAACCCCAGGTGGCGTCTCCCAATCGGCAAACATAATCAACTCCTCCCCCTCCACGCCCCCCTCCTCCACCTCCCTCCGAACAAGCATGTCCCTCCGCACAAGCAAATCCACCCGCTCCCTCCAACACAACGCCAAAAACTGGCTAGAAGTCCTGACAACCTCCCTCACTCCCCCCGGCCTGAGGAACGAAAACGACGGTTTGGTCGCCCAGTTATGGCCCTTCCGCCGCAGCACGCCTGGTAGCCGACCGCTCCAACGACGCAACAACCGTCGCGCTCGCACAGCAAGAATCCGCGCGGTTAGTCTTCGATCCCGATTCGGGCAACCACTTCCTCGTCCACCCCGCCTTAGCCATGCCCTTTTGCGTGACGATAGAGAGAAACCCGGTTTATTCAAGAACAGAATACACCCTCGAGCACCTCGAATCGCCCGTCCACCTCGCCAAACTCACCCGCGACGGGACAGGGCAGGGTTGGCTGGAAGTCGACACCTCCATCGCGGCCAAGATCGAGGCGGTGTACCTGGTTGATGTTGTTGTTGCTGCGTTGGTGCTGGTCGCGCACGGGGACGACCAATATACCGCCGGTGTCGAGGTCTTCGAGCCGCCTCCGGTTGTTTTTGGTGGGGGGAATGGTTCTGTCATCTCCGGCGACCGTCGCTCTTCACGGTCGTCCAGACGGGCAGGGGGCGATTCCCGTGCGAGCATGAGAAGAGAAGAGAAACAACGGAAGAAAGAGGCCAAGAAGGCGGAGAAGAGGTCTAAAAGCCGATCCAGCAAGAAGAGGATGGAGCAGTTCGAGATTGACCTCGAGAGCCAGGATAGTGAATACGGCAAACGATCGGTGAAAGAAAAGGAGGAGAAGTTACCTGCTGTGTTGAGGGCGTTGGTGTGGCTGATCAAGATTTTCTTCAAATGCTTGATTGGGAGTCTAGCGCTGGTGTTTAAATGTCTCGGGGGAATCATCAACGGGTTGGCGAGATGTTGTGGGTTAGGGAAGCTATAGGTGTTTCTTTCATGTCGATATTTGATTCCACCGGTTGGGTTTTTTTTGGGTCAGGCAGGACAGGATATGAACTCATGAATTCTGGCGTCGGGTATATATCTCAGGTTCTAATATCAATATCTCCCTCCCCCTTTTCCCCTCAGAGTGAAGCCAGACTCTCGCTCTGTTTGGAGAGGGAAAAACAAACGATGGGTACTAGTGGCAAAAACGTACATTACAAAAACAAATCAAAGAAAACCATCTCCAGCCCAGAGATCACCTCTTCCTCTCCCTGACCTTGATCCTCCTCCCCGCCTTCGTAACCCCCCCGCTCGTCGCCGTTTTCGCCATCTTCGCCTGTGTAACCTCCAGTTCCAACTCGGCATCCGTCAACGCCTTGAGCTTTTTCCTCGCCTCCTTCAACTTCTTAGCCAATTTCTCCAAATTCCGCTCCTTCCTCACCCTCTCTTCATCATCCTCATCATCACTCTCCTGTTCCCTCTCCTGCCTTTTCCTTCCGTCCACCACCTCCTTCCGCTCCTCAACCCCCTCACAAAAAACAATCTTCTTCACTTTCTTCGGTTGTCGCCCTCCCATATCAAACTCATCCTCACTATCCTCCTCCTCTTCCCCCCCGCCCGCAAGCACCCACCTCTCCTCCAACCCCCTCACCTCCTTGGCAACAATATTCCTCACAGTCCTCACATACCCCAAATCCTGCGTCTTGAGCAGCCTGACTAAATCCACACCCATAGCCTTGTTTCCCCTATCCCCCGCTACCTTTCCATCAAACCCTTTTCCCGCAGTGAGAGAAGACGACCCGGCCGACTTGCGGGACATCATGCCGAAATAAAACTCATCTTCGTTCTTCTCGGCGGCTTTCTCCCGGAGGGATTTGAGGACTGTTTGCTTTTTTTTGTAGTCCTTTGCGCGTTTTTGATAATCTTTTTTCTTTTCTAGGAGGCCGAGTTTGGCGCGCTCGAGGGGCTGGGCGCGTTCGCGGTGGGAGCGGCGTTGGACGCTGTGTTATTTACTGGTTAGCATTTGAAAAAAGGATGAGGAGGGGGAGGGGGGGAAGGGGTTACCTGTTCCGTAGGGAAGACATGGTGATGGTTTGGGGTTTGCGACTTTTTGGGTTGCGGTTCTGTTGACTTTCTTATGCAACTTTTGTGATGGAATCGGGTTGATTGATATCGCTGTCGCTGTCACAACTGAAAAAGTGCGACAGTGAAGGTGGAAGTAGAGTGATCGAATAATCGATTGATAGCGAGATCGTCGCTCTTCAACAGCGAAAGCAGCGGGCGGTCAGGATTTCTGGCGGGCGCTTGCTCGACAGACGGCAGAACCAAAATTTGAGAGCTGCGCAGCTGCGATAAGATAAGACTTTGGCAGCAGGTTTGGGTGGGGTCTCCGAACTCCACTGCGGGTCGAGATCCAGACCACCAAGGGTTCGAGATCCACTTTCAATGTGCGCTTTTTGACGACGTCATATTCGAGATGTCAATTTCAGGAGATGTTTTGGGGGAATATCAAAAGTCTGCTGTGTTCCATTGATAGCGAGTGTTTTAGCGATTGTCCATCTGGCTTATAGTCCAGATGTAAGTAGAGTATATAGGTCAGTCATCAATCATTCCCCTCCCCAACGCCCACATCCCAAACACCACAAAGACTCCAACAAAAACAAATCAACACATTCCCTTCCCCTCTACCCTACGCTTCCCCATCCCCCCACCCCTCACCACCTTTGCAAAAAAATACAGCCCAAAAGCCACCACACTAACCGGCACGGCAACCGCCCAATACATCCAAAACCTCTCCCCCCCGGGCGCAAACCAATCCTCCATCCCAAACAAGCTCGCCACAAACCCAAGCGGTATAAACACCAACCCCACCACCGTCAACGCCTTGACGCTCGTCGCCTCCTGCCTGCTCAACACCTGCTCCTCCACCGCCTGCCTATTCCCCGCCATCCCCGCCAGCCCAGTGATACTACTGCTCAAAAGTTCGACCCTCCTCCTCACATCCTTCAACGCCATGTACAAAAACTGAAAATCTGCCTCGGAAGACGAACCACTGCCAGACAAAACGTTCGGTGCCTGAAACGGAATCCGACACTGTATCATGATCGACTCGAGATCAATACAATAATACGACAACCTCCGCTCATACGACTGCACATCTGACCACTGTTTCTCTACCGCGGTGGTGTTGAAGTACTCGAGATTCTCCTGCCTCGACATGCTATGCTGCACGTGAGAGATGTACGTCTGCAAAAAACCGACGTGTTGGCGGTAATGGCTTGCGACGATCTTTTGCGCGAGGGTCAAGACCAGGTCGGTGCCGTGGCTGTCGAATAAATCCCAGTGGTGATCGAGGTAGAAGCACAAGTCGTCGAGGAGTGTCGTTCGGGGCGGGCCGCCGCGGTGGAGGTTCTTCATCTGTCGTTGGTGAGGGATGAAGTCGGGGTACCCCCCCTGGTGGAAGCGCGTGATGGGGGAGACGGGGATCGGGTTGTAGGCTTCGTAAGAGGTCCCTACGTATCGGAGGGGGGGGTCGGTGATGACGATGCAATCCCAGCCTGTGCCATTTTCTCGTGGGCGCCGCCAGATGGAGCACTTCCTGTGGAGGCAGACTGTGTCGGCGAATTTACCGAGGATTCGAGTAGTTGTGACGGTGCGCCCGGTTTCTGCGCAAAAGACGCGAAAGTTGCTTTGGAGGTTGTTGGGGAGGGAGATGAGCTGGTAGTATCTCATGGTGACATGCTCTTTTTGGACGCATGGGAGCGAGATGTTGTAGTAGGCGTCGTTGGACTTGAAGGCTTCGGGGGCGTTGTCTCGTTCGTGGTCGACGAAGAAGGCGGAGTGGATGTTGAAGTGTGTGCCCAGGGTGCCGATGTGGGCTGGGGCTTGGCCCTCCATGATGATGATTCGGCGTCCATCTGGGCCTGAGGCGGGTGATTCGTCGGTCAAGGAGAGTCTGAACTTTGCTGGGTCGCTGCACTGCCACGGCTTTCTGGTGAAGGGAGAGCCCGCGGATGGGGACTCTAGCACGGCGATTCTGGTGTTTTTGAAGGGCCAAGGTATGTTCTTGAGTTCGAGTCTGGGGTCTCTACGTCTCAACCTAGGCTCGGACGAGGCGAGACTCTCGATGACGTTTCGGTACTGCTGGCAATCGGCAAGCCAGACGCTGCCCCCTTGGCTTCCTTGGCTAGACTGACTGTCTTGCCTTGCAACGGAAAGCTTGGGGGCATGGTTTGGGATCATGTTGAATATCCTGGCTTGCTCCTCGGAGATGCTGTGAGCACCAAGACCACAGTGGAGGCTGTTCCTCCCGTACTTAAAGAAACGAAATCCCTTGTCAAGGCATATGGTAAGAGATTCAGAGGCCCGAGTGAGGCTGCCGAGTCGGGCGGTCCCCTCCATCGAAGGGACGTCCGTCTCATTAAAAACGCCCGGTGAACTTAACCGGCAAGGTTTAAACCTCATCATCAACATGACCAACGAAGTAATTGGCTGGTCGAGCCGATACTGTTGCCAAGACCAAGTCCTAGAAGAGGGGAGCAGCGCGATGGGGCAAGCAAAACAACGACATAGCGGTCATCTGATATTCCTGTTTGAGAGTTCCAGATGATGTCGTTTGGCTATTCGTTACGTGAGGCCATGTCAAGGTGTGGTAGGTGTGAAGGTCTGGGACCAATAGGATCAACTCCGGCCAGAGCCTTCTTGTCAGTTCGGGAGTTGGAAGTCTATGTGCCATGGACGCCTGCGCTAAATCGAATGTATGCTGGTGCATCTCAGCTCTTGGAGGCAGAGCCTGACATCGTCGTTTTTGGTTTCATGTTTCCCCAACTTGAAGGCGTCCAGTCTGCAAGTCAGCCTAACCCCGTGAGTTTATGATGAGACTATTGGTCGTATGCTCTTATCTGACGTCTTGGATATTGATACTGGAGCATTTATCTCCTTGTTGCCCCGAGATCTGGGCAAACACTGCCACTGATGCCATGTGGCCCCCCGCACTGGAGAATCTGGGGTCGGATTTGGGGGAGTTTGAAGCCCGCTGTCGTCCTCTCTCCAAGAATTTTGGTCTTTTTAATTTGTGTTGTTTTGTTTTCCAATCATCGTTGAGATGAAACAACATTGCAGCTGAAGGGTGGGACGGTCTCGCCTTTCCCTCCCAGGTCGAACCCGGCTGTCTGGGTTCAGATTTCCTTGGAGCTGCCTTAGCGCCGGCTGAATCCCGCCGTCGACTTCCACCGGAAGTTATTCAATGCCGGGCATTTCGGACAGTTTCACGACTGCCGCTGCATTTCATAGCGGTATGCAACCTCGGACAGCCCAGAGAGCACTCCGCGTATCCTTTCCTATTGTTCTCGAATGTCCCCCCCCCCCCTATTCCCTCGAAATTGGTGATGCTCGTATCAATTCACAAACAGGGCTCACAGCCACTATAAATACCGGAAATCGGCACTAACAAGATCGCCAAGCATGTCGATTCTCCACAGTTACAGGGCACATCGCAGCCTGTCAGGGGCAAGCTCTCCATTTCTGTGAGCCGCTATTCGACCCGGACGAGCAACCCGTTGGAAGCTTGTTGAGTTACCCGGCAGGTTTTTGGATGCACTTTTGTTTTCATTGCAGCTGACGTGTTTCTCTGACAATCTCCTTTTACTGTTGCTCCACCGCTGCGCCTTGGGCTCATTCATTCACTTACTTTTCTTCATCATTTTCATCTCTCGCTCACCTATTCTTTCCCAACCAGGTCATCCAGTGACCTCTTGATGGTTCCCGTCCCGCCTCTCACCGTCGCCATCACTTGCATTTGGGTGGCTAAAGGGGAGCAATGGCCATCCTAACCGCCCGCAGGTTTCAACGCCTAGCTCTGTTGACGGTGGTCGCTCTTGTTTTCTATATACTCCTCGACCAAGCAGACTATGTTGCCATTCCTATGGTGCCAAAAACGGGGCAATATGTCCAAAGCACTTACGACTGGGCAAGACGCCGGATGAAATACCCGTTTGATGAGTCCAAACTCACCAAGCTGCCAGAGGGGATCCCACAAGAGCTTCCCCGCATCCAGTATGACTTCTCCCAGGATGAAACCAGCGAGTCTCACATCAAGACTCAAAAGGAACGACAGGAGGCTGTGAAGCAGGCCGCAAAGAAGTCATGGAACGCCTATCGAAAATACGCCTGGGGCCGGGATGAGCTCCTCCCTGAGAAGCTCACTGGAAAAGACACCTTTGCTGGATGGGGTGCTACGCTGGTGGACTCGTTGGACACGCTGTGGATCATGGGATTGAAGGACGAATACAAGGAGGCGGTCCAAAAGACCGCTACCATCAACTGGGACAAGACGACCTCTTCACATTGCTCGCTTTTCGAAACGACGATCCGGTATCTGGGTGGTCTCCTCTCAGCATACGATCTCAATGGCGACCAGGTCCTCCTCGACAAGGCCGTTGAGCTGGGCGATATGCTCTACGCCGGCTTCGACACCCCCAACCACATGCCAGCAAACAGCTTCAACTTTCGTGAGGCGAAGGCGGGAAGTCTCAGACCCAGCATGGGCGAGTCTTCTGCTGCAGCCGGAACCCTGTCTCTCGAATTTACTCGGCTTGCCCAGCTGACTGGGGATCCCAAGTATTTCAACGCCATTTCTGGGGTGACGCGCGCCCTTGAGAAGACGCAGGACGACACAAATCTCCCGGGAATGTGGCCAGTGTTTATTGACGTCTCTCGCAACGAGCCCGAGAACCCTATCAGTGCGAAGGGTAGCTCTTTTAGCCTGGGCGCTTCTGCCGACTCGGCCTACGAGTACTTTTCCAAGATGTACGTCCTTCTCGGTGGCCTCGATCCAACGTACAAGAAACTTCACATGAAGTCCATGGCCACCGCTCGCAACCACCTCCTTTTCCGGCCCATGCTCCCGGATTTGTACCCTGCCACACCGCCTGATGTGCTGTTGTCGGGTAATGTCTATGCTAATGGTCAAGACATTATCGACCTCCAGCCTCAGGTGCAGCACTTGGGGTGCTTTGCGGGTGGAATGTTTGCCTTGGGTGGGAAGCTCTTCCATGAACCCGCCCACGTCAAGATTGGCGAGCAGCTCGCTCGTGGGTGTGCCTGGGCGTATGAAGCGTTTCCTTCTGGGATCATGCCTGAGGTTTCAGAGATCATTCCCTGCCCTGCTCCCTCTTCTGCGCCTTCATCAAAGGACGAAGAAGAGGAGGAGTTTCCCCGGTGCAAGTGGGATGATGCAACCTATAAAGACGCCAACACCGCCCCTGGCCGGTATCCCAAGCCTTTCAGGGCTGTCCAGGACCCTTCGTATCTCCTCCGGCCTGAAGCGATCGAGTCTATCTTTATTGCTTACCGCATCACTGGCAAGAAGGACTTGCTCGATATCGCCTGGCGCATGTTCACGGCTGTTCAAAAAGCGACCGAAACAAACGAGGCGTACACGGCTATTTCAGACGTCAATGTTGCCCCGGGTGAAGAGCAGGCGGATGCTCATGGCCGGGGTGGGACGAGGTCAAGAACCAAGAACTCGATGGAGAGCTTTTGGATTGCCGAGACGCTGAAGTACTATTATCTTATCTTCTCTGAGCCGGACCTCATCAGTTTGGATGACTATGTTTTTAATACCGAGGCGCACCCGTTGAAGATTCCCAAGCCGGGTAAGGGGGCGGAGGGGAAGGAGGGGTTGGATACGGAAAAGGAGGCATAAAAAAGGACAGGTGCACATGGGATGGAGGGTAGAGCAGCATATACATCACGCATGAATAGAATTTCATCTTTTAGAGTTCAACTCCACCACCGTTGATATCAAACGTCCCCGAAGCCGAAGCCGAAGCCCTTCAAAGGTACCACCCACGCCACACAGCTATGACGCAGCACCGCAGCGTTCAAAAGTGGGGTCCCCGCTCACCGTCGCGGCAGTGCCTCGTTGGGTCGTCCCGCCCCTCCTTTCCAGAACCAAGCTCCCTCTTCTTACCACAAGAGCTCCAAAACCCCTGTCACAATCTTTCCCCATATGAACTTGACCCCTTTCCGACGACCTGCCACACTTCTCCTCTACCTCTCCCGCCATTTCACCACCACCACAACCACCTGTTCCCTCAAACACCCACCACCACCACCTTTTCCAAGCACCATCAACGCAATGGACCTCACTTCCCCACCCCCCGAGGAACCCCCCTCCTACATCGCCGCCGCCCGCAGCCACGGCATCCCCCTCCGTCAATCAGCCCCCATCAAACCCGGCCCCTTGCCGCTTCAACTCCCCATCCTCAACCACCTCCGCACCAAGCGCGTGATTTTAGCCTCTGCCTCCCCCCGTCGAAGAGCAATGCTCAACCAAATCGGCCTCACAAACCTCGAAGTCTGGCCTTCAAACACCCCCGAGGACCTCGACAAGAAAACACACTCACCAGAGGAGTACGTCTCAGCCACCGCCCGAGCAAAATGCCACGCCGTCTACGAAGCCGTCCTCGCCGCCCAGGCCAAACCAGACGCCACCAAGGAACATTTGGAAGATCCAGCTGTTGTCATTGCAGCGGATACAATCATCGCCACCCGCGCAGGGCAGATATTGGAAAAGCCAAAAAACGAACAAGATCATGTTCGGATGCTGACGCATCTGAGGGATGGGAGGTATCACCGGGTTTTGACGGGGGTTTGCGTCATGGCGCCAAAGGCGGATGCGAGTCATCCGGGTTATGAGATTAGGGGGCATGTGGAGGATACGAAGGTTTACTTCGCGAGGGAGGAGGACGGGTTGCCGGACGATGTTATTGAGAGTTATGTCAGGACGAGGGACGGGGCGGATTGGCGTG